GAGCCATGATTACCAGGGGAGGAGGAAAATAGAATGATCAACATTTTTAAGCCATTGAAATAAATGACACTGTTTCCTTAAAAAATAAAATAAAATAAAATAAAAAGCATGTTAATATATTCTAAAGTAGACTATTAATTCTTAGCATCTATGTAAAGTTAAATGTTACTACTTAGCAAACCCTCTTAAAACTTACTGACTTCAATTCATAGAGACAGAAAGTAGAGCCATGATTACCAGGGGAGGAGGAAAATAGAAAGGTATCATTTAAAGAGTACAGAGTTTAAGCGTGGTATGATAGAAGCATTCTGAGGTGAATGGTTGGGATGGCTGCACAACAATGGGATTTATTAAAGCTACTAAATGTTTAAAATGGGTTGGTGTATAGCTCAATGGTAGAACACGTGGTTAGAATGCATGAGGCACTAGGTTCCACACCCAACACCAAAGAAATGGTTAAAATTGTAAATTTCATGTTACATATATTTTAGCACAATAAAAAGAATCAGTGATCTAAAATTTTAGACTCAGAATTTGGGGCAGGGATCAGCAGATTTGGCTCATCTCTGGCCTGTGTGGTGTCTCTTGGGACAGTCTGACTGGAAATGGATTCTAAAATGGCCACCTTTCCCATGGTGCTGCTGGCTGTCAGCTGAGGTGCTTCTGTTTTCCTCCCTGTGGTCAATCTCTGTGGTCAGGCAGTCTGGACTTCTTCATAAGGCAGTTAAACCTGAGTTTGAAGTCCCAGAAAGTTGCTTCCAGCACATTGTATTGGTTCATTACCCTGCTCAGGTTAATGTGGGAAGGAATGACACAGCGTGAACCCAGAGGAGTGTGGTTCTTCTGGGCCATTTTGTAACAATCAAGGATCTATCACAGCCTTCATGCCTATTAGCACGTTTCCTTCTCTTGAATTCTGTTCTACTGCTCTCTTTACAAACTAGAACTGGGGTCATGATTGTGGGAGTGGACTTTAAGCCTTCACATCTTGGCTCTGCAATTTGACGACTGTGTGACCTTTGGCAAATTATTCACACCCTGCCCCCCTCTTCCCCGCCCTGGTTAGGTTTTCTTATCTCTACAATAAGCTGGCGATAGTATTTATATCATTGTGTTGCTGCACTGGATGAGTGACTATGAATTAAAACCTTAAAAACAGTGCCTGGCACAAAGTAAGAACTATATGAGCATTTGCTGTTATTGTTGTCATCGCTGGTGTTATAAGAAACACAAAAATGGTGCAGAAGGAAATCTATAGCACTAAATGAGGCAGAAAGGCGGGAAGCACTTCCTTGGGGACACAGGACCTCCCTGCTTCACAGAGTTCTCATTTACACCTAAATCCCTTGCTGACATTTAAGCTTCTTTCCTTCTGTTTTGCCCACAGGAGACAAGGAGAACAACTGATCAACATTTCTACCTAATACTCCTCGGAACACCTGAAGACAGCTGTGAGCGCCAAAGCTTCACCGAGGCTCATCTGCACTCAGCCAGAGTGGGCAACGTGTCTGCGCGCGTGCGCGCGTGCGCGCGCGAGTCTGCACCTGCGCATTGCTGCCTGTGAGCCAGCCCCTCCGCTGTCTTCTCCTTTGATGCTGGGTCTTTTTTCCCCTAAAGGCATTTAGGGACCCAACCTCTCCTTTTCTCAGCATAAGCCTGGAAAAGGCTTCTGAGGAAGACAAAGCAGTGACTGAGAGATGACCAGTATATGGCGCTCTGCTGGCTCAAAAGAATAGGCCAGGAAGGAACCCTGTTGACAGCTAATTAGCACCTGTTGTTTACTGCAGGGAGTTCTTCCGAGCTGACCTGTGGCCCCATTGCTAATCCAGTGGCCTCCTGGGTCCGCAGCATTCTCCTCCCGCATGCGAGCGAAGCGGAGCGCTGTGGTGTTGCAGAGCGCTGGGTCCCACTCCTGGCTCTGACCCTTACCAGCAATTCTTTAACCTCCCAGTTTCCTCAACTTCATCCATCAAGTGGGGTTGATAATAGTGCTATGTTAAAAATTTTATTGAAAAATTTTTTATTTCAATGCTGAGGATTAAACTCAGGGTCTCAAGCATGCTAGGCAAGGGCTACTTCTGAGCTACATTCCCACCCCCAGGTTTACTGAAAACTTTAAAAACCATTTTTATTATTTTATTTATTTATTTATTTTTGGTACCGGGGATCAAAATCGGGACCTTCTGCTTGTGAGGCAGTCGGCAGCACCACTGAGCTAAATCCCCAGCCCTAAAAACCATTTTTAATGGCAATCATTATGGAGATTCCTCAAAACACTAAAACTAAAAATTCCATTTGACCCAGCTGTTCCCCTTCTAGGTATCTTTTCGAAAGAGTTAAAGACATATCACAATGATACATACATACCCAGGTTTATAGTAGCACAATTCAAAATAGCTAAATCTTGGAAGCAGCCTGTATGTCCATCAACAGATGAATGGATAAAGAAAATGTATTTTCACACAATGGAGTAATACTCTGTCATAAACAAAGATACACTTGAGTTATTTGTAGGAAAATGAATGTACCTTGAGACAATAATGATAAGCGAAATGCTGTAAATCACAATCACAACTGTCAATATTATGTAACTTTTCTTCCTTTCTCTCTCTCTCTTTTTTTTTTTTTTTTTTTTTTTTTTTGAGACAGGGTCTTGCTATATAATTCAGGCTATACTTGCACTTACTATGTAGCCCAGGCTGGCCTCAAACTCATGGTGATCCTCCTGCCTCAGCCTCCCATGTGCTAGGACAGCAGGCATGTGCCACCACGCCAGACTACATAACTACTTATATGAGAAACCCAAAGTATAAGTAGTCTAGGAAGCAAAAGTAAAGATGGACAATAGGAAACAGGTAGATAGATCTTTAGCAAATGGGAAAGGGACCAAGAGAAGGAGGGAGGCAAGAGGGACAGGGGATGTAAGAAGTAAGGTGTGTCGTGTGCATACACCTACACCCCACAATGTGATCACTGTATCACAAACATGTACTAATAAAAAAAGCTTTCTTTTTTAACTAAAAAAATTTTAGCAAGCCTCTTAGTACAAGAATACACAGTAAATTTTAAACTTTTTGTTGTTGTTATTGTTGTTGAGGAAGGGTCTTGCTGTGTAGTTCAGGCTGGCCTTGAACCCACTATGTAGCCCATGCTGGCCTTGGATTCACAGCAGTCCTCCTGCTTCAGCCTCCCAAGAGCAAGGACTACAGGTGTGCGCCACCACAACCAGTTTAAACTACTTTTATAACCCTCTGTTGGCTCCTGGGACACTTGGCTCCTCTTCAAGTCCGTTAAACGGCTCCTTCTCTGCCTCATTACCAGTTTCTCTTGGCCAGCCAGGAAAATCTGAGTCTATCTTTGATCCTTCACCTTTATATCACAATCCTGAGTGACTCATACCCTTTGACTTAACCACCATCTATGCACAGAGGCCTTCCAAATCTTTCTCTCTGGGCTATTTTCTGTATAGACGACTTTGTCTGGATGGTCCATGGCTCTTTAAAGTCAAAAATGTTTGAAACTAGCACTTCTTCTTTTGGCTATGATGGAGAAGCAGTTGGTACCAGACTAGTCACCCACCATTAAAAAAAAAAAATCACTAAATTAGACAAAGTGCGTGATTCAACTGTTTGAAGCCAACATGGAGGCAGCACAAATTTGTGGTCCCTGAGAGAAAGTGTCTAGTGAGCCTAGGACCACTCTGGCCCCTTATCTGAGGGCAGCTTCCTGACCAGGAAGCAAGGAGCAGGTTCTGAGCAGAAGAAGGGGGAGCCACTGGGTGGAGGAGGCAGCTGACAGGGCCCTGGAGAGAGGCCAGCTCAGGGCTGGGTGAGTGACCAGCCAGAGCAGGGCTGCACATGTGGAAGAGGAGCCAGCCAAGGGCTCCCAGACAGCGGCTCCTGCGGGGCTGAAGGCTGAGCAGAGATATCAGTGTGAAAGCAGCACTGGGGAGCTGTGTGCATGCCTGTAATCCCAGCAAAGAACTCTAGAAAGCTGAGGCAGGAGGATTTCAAGTTTGAGCTCAGACTGGGTAACCTAGCAAGACAAGACCTTTCTCAAAATACAAATGGCTTGGAGATGTAGCTCAGTGCAAAGGTCCTGGGTTCAACCCAGTGTCTCCACACACACACAAAAGAGCAGTAGTGGGAGTGTTGAATGTGTGCTCAGCCCAAGTGAAAACCCACATTAATTCTATGTAATAATGCCGCAAGCATCCGGTTGGGATACCATGCCTGGCTCCCCTGATATTTTTTTAAATTCTAGTTAATGTGGTTGGGATGGGGCAAGGTATAATTTTCTTCATACTTGTATTTCTCAGAGCTTGGTGAACTTCTTGGATTTGTTGCCATTTTTTCATCAACTTTGTGAAATTTGGGGCAAAAACTGCTTTCCTTTGTGTTCCTGGTCGCTTCTCATTGTCCTCTCCTTTGGGGAGTTCAGTTACATCTATGTTGTTGGGTGTGTCTGCAGCTCTCTTCATTTCCCTTCCCCCGTCCTTCTCTCAGGGAGACCCAATGGGGGCACCCGAAAGCCCGCACAGCATTTTAAATCCCTAAACCCAGCACTATCAACTCTCTGCCCTTTTCCTTTCCCTGGTGAGATTCTGCTCACTCTGAATGCACCACTGCCTAAGGAAACATCACTAAATTTTGCTGCCTTTTCCTTACCATCATGTGCCATGTCCGATTCTTTGCTCGTAGCACGCAAGAACTTAGAAACCGATCCCAGGCCCCGTCACCTATGGCAACGCTCCCAACATCTGATCAACCTGGAATCATCATCTACACCATGGGTGGTGAACCTTTTAGCGCTTTTCAGTGATTCAAATGGCCCGCTGCGGCACGCATGCCAAGGTTCGCCACCCCTGATCTAGGTCCTGTTTGATTAGACATTCAAATAAAATTAGAGTGGGGGAGAGAGCGAGGGAGTATCTATTAGGTGATTATATAAGAGAGGAGAAATAGGAATTTGGGGATATTCTCAGTGTTGGAAAATCAAATTAGTAGTGACCAGTAATTCAGATGAGGAATGAGGTATGATGGTCTGGGAAATGGAAAGGTAAGTAGTTTGGTTTTAGATTCTCTCTTTGAGCACCTTGAAGCTATCATTCTATTTTCTTCTTTTCACCCTTGTTTCTCACATCTGGCCGTGAGTGATTATTCTTAATCAAACCTGATCATCACCTCTTAACCATTTATCTCTAACCTCACCTTACCTAATAACTGTCACCAGAGTGAGCATCCTGCAATGCAATATGATCTCCATGCTTGCATCCATTTTCTGTTGCCATAGCAAAATACCTGATGCTTGCTGGGTACTTTGTAAAATGAAGAAGGTTACTTAGATCACAGCTTTGGAGGTTGAAAGTCCCTGATTGGGTGGCCTCTGAAGAGGGCCTCCAGGTGGACAGACTGCCCATGGTGGAGTGTGTGCAGTGGGGCAGGAAGCCAAAGGAACTAACCAGGAAGCTGGGTGTGGTGGTGCACACCTGCAATCCCAGCACTCGAGAGGCTGAGGCAGGAGGATCACTGTGAGTTCAAGAACAGCCTGGGTTACATAGAGTTCAAGGCCAGCCTGGACTATATAGTGAGACCCTGTCTCAAAAAATAAAACAAAAAAACAACCAAACAAACAATACGAACAAAAGTTAACTAAGGTGCCGTGAAACTACACCCACCACTTCGCCATTGCTCACGAGGCTCCACCTCTCAGGACCCACCCCCAACATGGCCCCTAGGAGTGCATCTTCAGGGGACACACTCAAGCCATAAGCACAACACAGCAGCTTGCTCATGTCAAACCTTCCCATCTCTCCTGACTTTACAGAGCTTCAATTCCCTGGCAGATTCAACTTTCCAGGCCTGGACTCTCCTGCCTCGCCTCCATTAACCCCCCAGAGGTCACCTTGTGAGCCGTCACTCCCTGCTCTTGGCTCGCCTGATGCCCTGGCATCTGAATGCTGCTCCTCGCCTGCCACAGCTGCATTCCTACTGGACGGAGCTTCACTTCCTCACCCAGGTAGCAGTGCAGTCCCCTCGTCTGCACTCTGCCTTGCTTGCCTGTTTTCATTAGGCTGTGCCCTCAGTGACAAGGACGGCCTCCTTCCTCTTTGCATCCTCGGCGTTCAGCATAAACCAAGCCTTGGCTTTAGTCAGCCTGTACTTAACGCTTGTTTATTGAAAGAATAAATAAATGAATATTTAATGAATCATCAATTTGGTTGAAGTTTCCAACTTTCTTTTTTCTTGGACACAGAGAACCTAAAAATAGAAATGATTTTCTAAATAAAAACAATGGGGCCAGATGTGTTAGTGCACACCTGTAATCCCAGCACTTGAGAGGCGGAGGCAGGAGGATCACTGCTGTGTGAGGTCAGCCTAGGCTACATAATGAGTTCATGGCCAGTCTGAACTACATAGTGAGATGCTGTCTCAACAAACAAACAAAAAACAGAGGTGATCCAGCAACTAGATTCTCACATAAAAGAACTCCAGTTTTGCTATAAAATTGTTTTTCTAAATTAAAGAACTCCAAAATCCTAATAAACATATTCTCTACAGTCCCTGAGGATCACATGGGGGAGGGATTGAGGCAAGGAACACATGCAATAGTTAATGAGTAAAGGGTCTGAACCAAGATACAGATGGACCTGAATATACTATGTGTTACAGAGTCCAGGGGCCTGCAGAAGCTTCCAGAAGAATCTATCTGTCTATGGAGATTATGTCTTCAGAAAAGAAGAAAATGAAAACAACAGCTAAGCCAGGCATGGTGGCATACACATGTAATCCCAGCACTCTGGAGGTGGAGGCAGAAGGATCGCTGTAAATTCAAGGCCAGCTTGGGCTACATAGTGAGCTCAAGGCCAGACTGAACTACATGAGACCCTGTCCAAAAAAACAAAAATGAACAAACAAAACAAAACAATGGCTAACCAAGCGTAGCTGATGGTGTGCTGAGTGGCAGAGTGCCTGCCTGGCATGTGTGAGGCCCTGGGTTTGCGGAGGATGGTGGGGTGGGGGTGGTGGCCCTCAAAGTAAGGCCCTGACTCAGCACCCAAGGACCTTGAGAAGACGCTGTGGCACCATCCTTGAGGGCTGGACTTGAGCCTGGGAGCAGTTAGCAGGAGAGGAAAGAAAAGGGCAGAAATTCAGATCTGGAAGGCGAGGACACCTCCAAAAGTGCTCTCTCTTCCCATACATCAAGAACAGGAGGCGTTTTGTTTTGTTGACAAAAATGGCTTCAGCAAATAGTGATTTTAAAAAAGAAAATTCCAGATAAAAAAGAGCATGAACAATAATAGTGCAACCATGACAACACTGATTGGAAAAACATGTGATGGGGAGCTTTGCGATTCAGGTTTAAATAGCCTGTGGATTATCCAGGGATCCTGTCCAGGGTTAGCACCTGTGTCTGCGAGAAAACACGCTCCCAGTTGCAAATGAGCTGGGAGTGCAGGCTGCTGCTCAACTGGGGCAGCCTGGACCCAAGAATCCACCTGTCTTGGTGCACAACACCTTCAGCAGGCTCTGCTGTGCCTGAGAGGAGAGAGATGCAATTGAAAATGGGTCACAAAACAGAGGTTTTTAATTTTTTCTTTCATAAAGAAACTAACTGCCAGGTGTGGTGGCACACGTCTGTAGTCTCAGCACTCAGGAGGCTGAGGCAGGAAGATTGCTGTGAGTTCGAGGCCAGCCTGGGCTACAGAGAATTTGAGGCCAGCCTGAACTGCATAGCGAGAACCTGTCTCAAAAAAAATATATAAATAAAAAATAAAAGTAAAAGGAAATAACTGAATAGGAAGGAAAGACAAAAGAAAAAAAGAAATACAGTTACAAAGGTCAGGTCTTTTTCAGATTATATGTGAAACACTAACCATATGGGATCCTTATTGTTAGTAATGAAGTGTACTTTGGAAAGAGGTCACATAACGAAATTAAATCATATTAGCAAGGAATCACCAATGTTGATCATGCCAGACGGATATTTACTATAGTTGTGAATTTCATAGTTTTTGAGTTTTTATTTGAAAAGAAAACAAAATTTCATAGAAAAATAAGAATAAGAATAGTTAATACACTGTGTATCATTATCTTCAAAGTAGTTACTCAGTGTATATGCTAACTTGTTTCCTTTATACTACTAGTTTCTCTTAATTCATTGAGAAGAAAGTTTTATGTTATCATCTGTTTGTTTCTTTTTTGTAAGAGAAAATGTTTTATATCTATGTCTTGTATTCTGAGTAACTTACTATAGTTGCTGATCTTCTATATTCTAAACTTGTTCTGATAATGGACTAGGATGCTGATTAGTCTTTGTTATTTCAGATGAATGACAAAAACAGAACTGATGGGGTCTGTGGAATTACTTGCTGGTACTAATTTAGGATTTCAGAAGTTGGGATGTGCCCCCTTGCCATGTTGGTCACTAATCCATATGCTGATTCTGTGGTAGCTTGAGAAGATAGTTGGATATTACTCTAGTTGAGATGTATTTTGAAGGCTGGGAATATAGCTCAGCAATAGAGCACATGGTTAGCAGGTTAGCATGTAAGAAGCTCTGAGTTCAATGCCCAGCACCAAAAACATAAAAAAAAAAAAGACCTGTGTATCATTGCATTTTTGAGTTAAAACCTAAATGACTTTTCTAATTTTAAAGAGATGAAAGACCACCTTTGTTTTGAGTATTATTGTCTGAAAACAGCACTTTTCCCATTGGCAAAAATTCCTCACTTGTTTTGGAGAATGTGTATACCATTGAAAGCTGGAACCAATGGCCAAGTTCTCTGGGGCAGAATGAGGCCATGTAGAAATATATACATAGTTTTGAACAAAGACCGGAGATACAGGAAATCCATCTTCACAGTGCACCTGAACGGCATCGTGCCTCTTGAGTGTGCCCCAGGAAGGGGTCAGCGGGGTGGGGAGACTGAGGATTAGCAGCCTGCATTAGCATGGTTTCTGTGTGTGGTTGGCGAAGTCTCTGGACTCAGAGCCTGGGCCCTCTGACTCATCCGGGTCAAGCTCAGGGCAGGGAATGGGTGGGGTGAGGGTGAAGGCAATGAATGGCATGTTAATACCAGAGTCTAAAATTATTACTGATTTTATACACTTTTAATGATACTACATAGTATATCCTAAAATTTCAGACAATCTTAAAGGAGAGTGTGAGATTTTTATAGAGAGTAGACAGATACGTTTCTTAAAATGGACCACATGTTGCAGGAGGACCACTGGAATCCTTCGTTTAGATGATTTTTTTGCAAGGAGTACAAGGTAGTAGGCCTTTTTAAATCAAATTTTTAATGTTATTGGTACATGTTTGTGGTACACAGTGATTGCATTCATTGTGGGGGAGTAGGTACACACACATAACATATCTTAATTCTTTTATGTCCCTTTCCCCTCCTTTCCCTTCATCTCTTGGTCCCCTTTCTTTGCATTTGCATGAAAGGGTAGGGCTGGACCGGGGATTTAGCTCAGTGGCACCGCACCTGCCTCATAAGCACAATCCTGAGTTTGATTCCTGGTACCAGAAAAAAAAAAGAGGGTAGGTCTTTTAAGTAGATAGATCATGATTCACAATACTTAGAAAAATTTGCAACAACAATTTCTAGAGAAATAATGAAAGTGAGGTCTTTTTTTTTTAACTTACTGTATTTGTTACTTCTTAAAGCAGAATGTGACCTGGGCACTCCATTTCCACTCACAGACATTATTTCAAATTATTCCTCAAACAGCATTGCAGTATAGCTAGGAAGTTTAGTTTATTCCTCTAAACAATGCTTCCCTTTGGAAAACAAGCCCTGTGGAGTTTCTGCCATCAAGTTGTTTCAGTTTAACTTACTTATTAGAAGCCTAATACATGCAGAATTGAAACTACAGGGGGGAAAGTTTTAAAAAAGTAGATCCTACAAGATGAAAACTCAAGCTATTGTAACAAATATTCCTTTAAACATCAAGATAGCTCAACACTTCAACAGAAGATTTGGTCTGCTAAGGAATCCAGCTTGATAACACCTGGGACCAAAACTGAGGTCTTCTTATCCAACTGCAAGGCTGTCCGCTTTCACTGTCCTCAAAGGGTACAGCAAGGGTATCAGAGACAATACCCAGTGGTCCTTTTCCACGGCAGCCAAGCTGTCTGCTTTCAAGTCCAGCCACTTCAGCCACCACAACACTCTACCTGGGTCAAAGAAAGAGTGCGGTAAGAGAAAGCTCCCAGAGCACATGGACTCTCAGAAGAAATACTCAACTGGATTACAGGTCCTTGCAAATTCCTGTAATCTCAGGACTCCAGGAGGTGAGGCAGGAGGATCACAAGTTCCAGCCTGGCCTGGGCAACTCAGTGAGAACAAATGGGCTGGGGTTGTCGCTCTGTGTAAAGGCCCTGGCTTTTTTTTTTTTTTTTTTTTGGTACTGGGGATCGAACTCAGGACCTTGAGCTTGTGAAGCAGGTGCTGGAACCACTCAGCTAAATCCCTGGCCCATATGATTGGATTTTTTTATATATATATATACCAGGGATTGAACTCGGGACCTTGCATTTTCGAGGCAGGCACCAGAACCACTGAGCTAAATCCACGGCCCTAAAGGCCCTGGCTATATCCCCAGTACTACAAAAACTAAACAAAACTCAAGTTGGTCTGCTCTGATTGTGTAGGGACCAGTGACTTCTGGCCTCAAATGAATCTCTATTTACCTTTTAGATTTCCCAGGCATTAGTGCACGAAGACACATTACATCATCAGAAAGTGAGGGTTCCCAGTGTCTTCCTTAATTAAATCTCCTTATTACTAGCAATACATTTTTACTTTATTTGAACTTTCAGTATTTATTGAGTGAGAAAGATATAGAATGGCAAAAAAAAAGAAATTTCTTCAGGCTAATAACTAGGAATTCATTTGTAAGTTGTTAACATTATCTATAGACACTTAAAATAATAGTTATATATGAGATGTGTTTGATCTTTAGGCAAGTCTTGTTGACTGCATTAATTGATATTCTTTTGGTTGCAAATAATAGAAATGAACTCTGGCTAGAATACTTATACATGAAAAATCTTGGGCTGGGGATGTAGCTCAGTGTTCAGTATGTGCTTGGCATGTGCAAGGCCCTGGGTTCAACCCCTAGCACCATAGATAGATACATACATAGATA